CTTGAAAACTACAAATACAATATTTTTTCACCTGTGCTTCTTAGACTGGATCTAGTTTTAGTGTCTATTTCCAAAGGCAACCTGCTCATCAAGCTAGTGTTTGCTCCTTTACAAGTTGCTTGTCCTGTGTTTGTTCTCATGGGAACAAGAAGAGCAACAACAGAGGCCGTTGCTCAGAACACAAAAGGGAAGATAAGCCTGGAAGATAGACTGTGAACCTATCAGCCTTTTCGCAGCCTTTCCCACACTTACTGGTGTCATGGAGGTGATGCAACCTGAGGTCCAAGCATGATATCAATGCCCAACTGATGCTGCTCACATTAACACCCACCCTTCCACCCTTCCGGAGGAGGCGGTGTAGCAGGTGCTTTGGGTGCTCAAGTCACATCCCTGCACCCAGCTCTGACTCCAGAGCAGTTGTGTGGGCAACTTGGTGCAGGCCCTTTGTTCTTCTGCATCCGGGCTTCCTTCTAAGCCAGCACAACAAGGGGTGGGAGCAGGGAGAGCTCTTAGGGGCAATGTTTGACCCATTAGGAATGGGAATGCAAAGTTATTTAAATCTGCACAGGTAAGCAACCAAGGATGAAGGATTTTTAAAAACAAAAGATCTCCCCAAAATTGGATGGTGTAGAAAAAAGAAACAGGAAATAGAACAATACATATTCTGTCATTACTCACAGGAGGGAATGAACAGAGGCTTTCAAAAAGAATGTAGGATTAAGATCATTGTGTAAAGCTACATAATGGCAATCAAACATAAAAAACGTAAAAACCTTTCAAATTTTATGAATAAATACATACACACAACAACAGAAATACATATCTTATAGAAAAACATACAAAGAATTATAACAGAGATGGTGACACAAAATGTTTCACATATCTAAGAGCAAACATTTTCATATTAATAGATGTATTAATAGATATATTTGATTATTAAAGAAAAAAATTTTAGCCAAGACTGGTTTGGCTCAATGGATAGAGCGTCGGCTTGGGGACTGAAGGGACCCGGGTTTGATTTCGGTCAAGGGCATGTACCTTGGTTGCGGGCATATCCCCAGTAGGGGGTGTGCAAGAGGCAGCTATTCGATGACTCTCTCTCATCGATGTTTCTAACTCTCTATCTCTCTCCCTTCCTCTCTGTACAAAATCAATAAAATATATTTAAAAAAAAGAGAAAATTTTTATTATATTACAGGCTAAACTCAATATTATGCTTTATATAATATAATAGATACTTTAAATGACTAATATTGAAAATAAAAAATAAAAATATGCATATTCGGTAGACAAGCAGGGATTACAGTCTTAGAAAGAATGAATTGAGGAAAAATGCATTAGATGATAGAATTATAGGCAACCAATAAAGGATAAAATTTACAAATATATTGAGCAGTTATTAATATCCACATCCTAAATAATCTAGCATTAGTATATAAATAGTAATTATAGCATTAATAATCATAAAGAAAATAGTATAGGAACTGAAAGAAAAAATAGGAAAAATCATGGGAGAAGGACAGACTGTGATTTACTATTATTCTTACTTGATCAAGTTAAAAATTAACAATGAGACCCAAATAACATAATTAATAAAATAACTCTGCTTGATTTTCTACTTTAAAAGCAGACATATTTTTCAGCTAACCATGGAACAGTCAAAAAATTAGCCACAAAGAAAATTCTATACATTTATAAAAGTAAATAATAACAGAAACAATATTCTCTGATAACTATGTAACAGTATAAAATTAATGTATAAATTAGGAAACAAACAAAAATACCATGCTACCTCTAAGTCACAAGATCTCTTTTTAAAAATCTTTTGGATCAGAGATTTGAGTACTTATTAAAACTATGGATTTGCTTAAAAAGATTTTTGGAAGTAAATACCTAGAACTAAAATCTTAGGGCAATCAACGAGAAACAATGCATATAGATAAATTAAACATTCAAATAAAAAAATAGAAAATTTATGAGGTTTTTTGAAAGTCTATAAAGTTTTAATACATTAGCTAATCTAATTATAAAAAATGAAAAATGTATATATAAATAAACATAAAATTACAATATGGGGATAACCGATGGGTCTATTAAAAGAAATATGATAAGAAATAAAACATGGCAAAGCTCAAAATTTGGCAAGTAAATTTGAAGAAGTTAATAGAATAATAACCATTCAAAGTTAACAAGTTCTAATTCCTGGAACTTGAAAACGTTATCTTATTTGGAACAAGAGTCTTTGAAAATGTGATAAGTTAAAGATACTGAGTTGAGGAGGTTTCCATAGATTATTCAGATGGACTCTAAAGCCAGCGACAAATGTTCTTATAAGAGGAAAAACAGCAGCAACAACAACAAAAAGATGGGGAGACAAACAAGAGAGGGAGGAATGCAGCCACAAAGGCAAGGTTGAAGTGATGTGACCACAGTAAGGAATGCCTAAAGCCAACAGAAGCTGAAACAGCTCCAATGTGAATCCTCCCCCCAAACCTTCAGAGGGGGCATGGCCTTGCTGGAACCATGATTCTAAAACTCTGGCTTCCAGAACTGTGAGAGAGTAAATTTTTAAAATGTTAGATTTAATTTATTGCAGTGACATTGGTAAGTAAAAATATATAGGTTTCAAATGGTAAAATTCTATAGTGTCCTTGTCTATATATTTCCCTCCCAAAATCAAATCTCCTTTCATCTCCATATATTTGCCTTTCTTTTCTATCTCCCCTTCCCCCAACTCTTTTCCCTCCCCCACAGACTGTTGTCTATGACTAGGAATTTTTATCTGTCTTATTTGTTTATTCATTGCTTTCAGCTTTATATACCCTTATATACAATGCAGCATATTTATGGTGGCCAAAACATGGAAATAGCAGAAGTGTCCTTCCATTGGTGATTAGATTTAAAAAAAAAAAAAAGAAGAAGATACGGTGAATACATACAATGGAGTACTACTCAGCCATCAGAAAAGATGAAATAGTGCCTTTTGTTGGCAACATAAATGGAACTTGAGAATGTCGTTTTAAGTGAAATAAAGCAGACAGAAAAAGTCAAGAACCATATGACTGAGGGAAATAAAATTGAGAGAGTATAGTTATGCTGTCTCAAGCCTCCTGGTTTAAGGTGATTTGTTATAGTAGCCCCATGAATTAATACACACAGAATGAAATATGGGAATCTTAAAATGTACAAATCTCCCCTCACTTTTTAATGTAAAGTGCTGTGTCTACTTTTGTATGCTATCTTCTGCCATCACAGTTTCATTTTCTAGCCCCAACAGATAGCACATGCAAAGGCCCTGAGGCAAAAAAGAAAAAAGCAAAAAAAAAAAAAAAAAAAAAGCAAGTGGCCTGTTTAAGGAACTGGAGGAAGGCCAGTATATCAAGAACAGGATGATCCTGGGAGTAGGTGGCACCTGATGAGGCTTTATCCTGATAAGAGTTTCTAATCTGAAAGCAAGTCTGGCACCAGCTATTAAGATAGATAGTATATTTTAACTCATCTATACACTTTTCACTTCAAGTGGTTCTTCAAGGTCTGGATGAGTTAGATAACAAAAGAATCCAAAGATTAAACAAAAAAGAAAGAAATGGACAAATTTGCAAGGCAGAAAGATCTTTTAGTTGTAGGACAAAAATAACTATATTGAATTCCCATTCTTCAACTCAAAAATGGATTTTAACACACACATACACACACACACACACACACACACACGTGCACTATTGGTGCCACAACTGTGTTGACAATCTACTCAATAGTAACAGTCATTTCAACAGCTCAACCCACTCAGTGCATTCAAATAAAATAGAAGGAGCTAGAGCAAATGATCACTTCTGTCTGTTTTTATTTTAGTGTTTAGATGTTTGCATTACTGTGCACTCAATATTTTTGTCATGGATTATTAAAAGAAATCAGGAACAGCTGTGGCGGCTGCAAGATTATTTGTTTGAAGTACCATACCACCCCTCTTAGAGCGTGCGCGCACACACACACACACACACACACACACACACACACACACTCAGGAATTAGCACTGAGCCATGATTGAGTAAGCAGTGAAGAAGAATGTCCAATCAGAAATTATCTGCATCCCAACCCCCACTCTGATTTCAAGATAAGTACATCAAGACTTTAAAGGGCAAAAACTTAATTGTTTCCATCTTTCCCTTCTTATCCCCTTAAAATAATGGATACCCTAGTTTAGTCTAAGATTTGTGTTGATCTGAAAGGACATCTAGCCTGCTTCCAAAGTAACTACCCCGTATCATTTTTATTATGTATATGTGCTTTGTCAGAACTGTCTTGTTCTAAGCAATTATTTAGTGAGACATGTTGTAATTTATTTTATACAGACTACTACTTACTTACTTAGGTAAACTATTTCCCCCTTCCACTAAGAACTGCTTCAGATCCAGGAATTTTAGATCAATGTTGTCTTCTGTGTTCTAGAAAGCTAAAAAATCATTCAAGGAATTTGTTATTTGTCTACTACAATTCTCTCATTATTTTGGAGATGTACCTGGAAAACTAGCTCCTTTTGCCTTTAGTATGGTTTGGTTTAAATTAGAAGTATATATGGGCACATAGCATTAATGAAATAAGAAATACACTTCATAAATTACATAGCACATTTCAGGCAACATATGATAAAAGCGACACCTGTCTCTTTACCACCTTTCTTCTATACAACTATATGATGAGGTGAAAGACATATGATCATATTTGATGAATGATAAGTATAATAAATTTTGAAATAATTAACTTGTGAGAAACCACTGAACTGCTGAGGGAGAGATGCTGGAAGAGAAGTGTGTGCCCTCACTTCCTCTCAGACCTTCATCCCTTCATCTGTGAATGTTTGCAGATCTCAGCTCAGCTGATTAGAGATCTGTGACTGCTCATTTCACCTCTGAAAGAAGCTGGTCAGGTGACACAGAGCGAATGATTCACTTACCAATTTTGAAAGAGAAGATACATATGATAAAAGTTACACCTGTCACTTTTATTTAAGTATTTATTGAATGGTTTATCAGATCCAGAAGCTTTGCAAAGCACTGGGAATATATAAGGTGCAAGCAGACACAATTGCAGGTCTAAATTAGCTTAGAAAGTTGTGAAAAACAATGATTTCATAATCATACCAATAACTATATAACTAAAACAGTAGGGAATTGTGTAAAAGAAAAAAATAGGTTTTATAAGAAAGTAAGAGAAATTAAGTCTATGCAAGCAAAGAACATTTCCCTGAAGGTTTGACATTGAAATTGAAATGTGAAAACCAGCAAATTGGAACAAGGGCACTTTAGAGAGCATGTGCAAAGTCCCAGAAGCAAATAAAAACAGATTAAAGAGTTGGATGAAGGTCGTATGCTGAGAGCATGGTGACCAAGGGAGCAGGCAATACCTGGTGAGGCTTCAGAGGTAGGACCAGGCCAGCTAACATGGAGACTGGGGATATGTTAAGAAGTTTGTGTGATTTAAAAGTTTGATGAGAAGCCACTGAAAAGTTCCTAGAAGCTGGATAATATGACCTTATTTCTGTTTGTAAACAATCACTATAACTGTTAGGTATAGAGAAGGATGAAAAGAAGATAAGTTAGGAAGCTATTGCAATAGAAATATTGTAATGATAAAACAAGACACACACACACACACACACACACACACACACACACACACACACACATACTCAGTGTCTACCAGGGATGTGATAGATACCAGTAGGTTCTTTTTTCCCTTCCCACATGACTTAATCTCATTTTGCTAACTTTTGTAATCTGATATTTCAAATACCTTGAAACATAAATAGCCATCTTATTCTTTATCTGAAGCTAATTTCTTACTAATGTTCATACTCCACCCAATCTGCTTTCATAACCATTCCAGGCTCAGTTCTTTAGAAAACACTGACTTTTTAATCCAATTTTTATAGGAAGCATTCTTACATATGTGATTTATGCAGAGACATTTTGGTTGTTTGGAATGACATTCATTTGGCAGGATCTTTGGTTGCTATAAAGCAATTCAAGACTTACATATTTGGAGGATCCATAGTTCTTTACACCACACATTTTCTTAAGAGGTTCTCTGGTAACTTTGATTCCAGATCATTGACAAGGATGACAGAAAGTGTTGCTGTTGAAACTCATTTGCACATAAGATGAAAGAAACCAACAGGGCAGATGTTCCTGGAAAAATAAAATACAATTTAAGAAAATAACTTTCTTTCACCTTTGAAAATAACATAGAGGAAATTTGGATTCTGATTTTAAGGGGTTGGATTTGTAAAGAGTGGTTATTGTGAAGCATCCCATTCCCACACCATTCTTTAGGGTTGAATTGATGGGTGCTGCAAGATCTACAGCATTTGTTCTGCTTCTACATCCATCCTTTTCTGCACTGGGTCTGCTTAATGGACCACGACAGCTTTGGGGCCCCCCAAACACTAGCTATTAATTGGGTCCTTGGTACTGAGCACAGAGACGGAAAAAAACTTAGCTAAAGATTGTATTTATTAACTTCAGACATCTCATGGAAGATATTTGGTTGACATGCAATGAAAATAGAAATGTAGATGTTTCTAGCCGAAACTGGTTTGGCTCAGTGGTAGAGCGTGGATCTGCGGACTGAAAGGTCCCAGGTTCGATTCCGGTCAAGGGCATGTACATTGGTTGTGGGCACATCCCCGGTAGGGGGTGTGCAAGAAGCAGCTGGTTGATGTTTCTCTCTCATCGATGTTTCTAGCTCTCTATCCCTCTCTCCTCCTCTCTGTAAAAAATCAATAAAACATATATTTTAAAAATGTAGATGTTTCTGGAAATACTTATTACTTACAGAGCTCACTCAAATGGGCATTAAAACATTTCAATGTGGATGCTCTTCCCACCCTGTCCTGCCACCAATTTAGATTTTTTTAAAAATACAGACCATTCAGGTACCCCTTCTACCTAGGAAAAAACAATCTTTCCTTAATTTCTTTTTCTGACCCAAGACAAAGTACATTGTGTGTTTGTCTGCTCTTTTGCTTTCAAAGTGATTGTCTCTTAAAGAAAGTCTTCCCTTTCCCAGAAGAAAGTCTATTTACATAGTACCTGCCTTATTGTTGAATTCAAGTCAACAATCTTTTATCCAGAGTTCCAAAATTAAAAACTATATAACTACATATATTTCTGTAAGTTTGTTTTTAAAGCTCACTGGGTGGCAAAATCTGATGTGAATCTATTAGTAAAAGAGAATATTTATTTCACTGCAGAGATATTAACCTAATTGTTATGTGGTGCTATTTAATGTCTACATATACAATATTCAGAATACACATTGCATTTCCCTTATAAAACCAAACCTATTTTAATTTTCACCCAAGAGTTTTGGATAGGGTAATACAGATTTATAACACAGAGAGCAAAAAAATTCAGCTCCCTGAATCTGATCACCTCCCAGATTCATGGTGGAGTAATCCTCATCGACACAGCCCGAGCATTGCCTGTGGATCACTTCCTTTCTTTTTGGCCAGTCTGAACTTCTCTGGGTCACTAAAGACAACAGCCAAAGAATCACTGTATTCTAGAATGGGAGTGCTAATCTAAAATTTAGATTCTAAAATATTATGTTAACTAGCTGTAATGTCTAGTAACAAAGACAATTCAAAAGAAATTTAATTTGTTCATGAATATTTATTACACATGGTTGTATGTGCTTCGATTCCAGGTGACTTTATGAAGCGTGATGACTATAGCCCTGCTCAGCTTGTGTAGACTAATGCCAATGGCTTCTTTTATGAAGTCCACCCATCTCATGTTTGGTCTTCCTCTTTTCCTGCTACCTTCTATTTTTCCAAAGAACCCTGCCTTCTCATGATGTTCCCTAAGTAGAACAACTTGTTTTGTCATTTTTGCCTCCAGTAATGTTTAAAGCTTAAATTTGCACTGGAACCCACTGGTGCATCTTTCTGATGGTCCAGGGTATGTACAGAGGTCTCCTGACACATATTTTAAATGAAACTTTTTTTTTTTTTTATTAAGCCCCTTTACTGTCCAATTTTCATTTCCATACCTTAAAATTGGGAATCTGAAGATGTGGACAATATGTACCTTGGTCTCTAATGACATCTTTGCTCTTGGTGATCTTATTCTTTCATTGTTGCCTTTCTGAGTTTCAGCCTTCTCTTTAATACCTATTATAGAATATTAACATTCTATCTAATAAAAGAGTAATATGCAAATTGAGTAATATGCTACACCCACAGAGCATGCCCACCAGCCACTCAGGAGCCCATATGCAAATTAACCCCAACCAAGATGGCTGCAGCCATGGAGTGAGCGGGAGGCTTGAGTTTCCCAGGCAATGGAGAAAGCCAAGGTTTTCACACATCTTTGCCGGCCCAGGCCTCCACTCAAGGCTACAAAGTTTCAATTACAGAAGATAAATAAATCCCAGAAACCAGGACCTCCTCTTGGGTTGATGGGGGGCATGGCCAGCCTACAAACCACCACAGGCCCCTCGCTCAGGCTGTGTCATGCCCCAAAGAAACCTCACCCCGATCCAAGACACCCTTCAGGGCAAATCAGCTGGCCCCACCCATGCACTAGGCCTCTATCCTATGTAATAAAAGAGTAATATGCAAATTGACCATCACTCCAACACACAAGATGGCTGTCCCATGTGGTGAAAAATGGCTGCCCCCATGTGGATACAAGATGGCTGCCACAAGATGGCCAGCAGGAGTGAGCAGTTGGGAGGGACCAGGCCTGCAAGGGAGGACAGTTGGGGGCAATCAAGCCTGCAGTGGAAGGCAGTTAGGGGCGACCAGGCTGACAGAGGAGGGAAGTTGGAGTGACCAGGCCTGCAGGGGAGAGCAGTTGAGGGTGACCATACCTGTAGGGGAGGTCAATTAGGGGCAATTAGGCTGGCAGGGGAGTAATTAGGTATCAATCAGGGTGTCAGATAAGTGGTTAGGGGGTGATCAGGCTGGCAGGCAGAAGTGGTTAGGTGCAATAATGAATGCAGGCAGGCAAGCACTTGGGAGCCACCAGTCCTGGATTGTGAGAGGGATGTTCGACTGCCCATTTAGGCCTGATCCTACCTGCATTGGGCCTAAATGGGCAGTCCAACAATCCTCAAGGGGTCCCAGATTGAAGAGGGTGCAGGCTGGGCTGAGGGACACCCTCCCCCATGCACAAATTTCATGTACCAAGCCTCTAGTACTATAATAAAAAATAAAACAAAGCTATGAGTCAGAAGATGGGTTCTCACTGGTTTAGCCATCTAATTGCTGTATAAAATTGAGCAGTCTCTTAACTTTTTTGAGTCGTTTGTTGAAATCAAGTCAACAATCTTGACATTCATTGCAGAATTCATTCACATCCATTTAATGTCCATTTTACAGAAGATAAAACTAATGTTTTCTTTTTCTCTCTCATTACTTGCAAAAATTAAATTCAAAAGTATACTAACAAAAGCATACTTATACTAACAAAAGCATATGTCTGTGCTAAATATCTTGTAAGTATCATGCAAAGAATTAATATGTACATAGCATTTAGTAATCATATTAAAATAACCATGACACATGATTTATCCTCAAAGAGCAAATAGTAGAGGAATAGTATATGAACATACAGGACTATGCTGGGTTTTAATTTTTTAATCACTGATAAGTAGAGCTAAAAAAAATTGGTAGAGAAGCTTGTCTCAGTTCTTACGAGAAAACTATGGAAGGGGGAAGGGCGAGAGAAGCATTTGGAAGGAATTTCATCAAAAACAGCTGCCTTGCTAACTCCCTGTTTCAAATTGCCTGTTAACTGATCTGACTTAAAAACTTTTTTTTTTAAATCAAGAAACAAAATCTGTCGGGTTTACTGGTGCAATTCATTTGCACATTCCACACCGCTACATATGGCAGGACTGAAATGATCAAATTTCCTTCAGCTTTATCATAAATCACACAGATTCCAATGTGTCCTTCACAGCTTTAAGTTTTCAAAACCATCATGACTAATGAAATATTTATACTAAGACCAAGAGCCACTCACAGGGAGTCACGTTCCTCAGAAGAGAGACTTTGACAAAGAACCCATCAAGAAAGCAGCTGGAGGCCCCCCAACTCTGGCTCCACCACCATCCTCCACTGTTGGCCTTTACATCTGCCACCTTCAGGTCACCAAATGGCATCCCTCATAAACTGGGAACACAGGCTTTTTGCTCAACTTGACAGCTTGCATTTGGAAACTAATCAAACTTTAAGGATTCCACTTAAGAGCATAAAAAGGCTTTCTCATGGTTTTATTACTTTGTAAAATGTATTAGGTTTCAAATCAAGTTAATTTTCAAGGAGAACCGAGTTATTTTTACTAGATGGTTTTAAAGTTTTCACTGACATATGAGGCCAAACAATCACAATGAGGAAGCTTTCTCTATAAATTGGATATTGGCCAAGTGTCTATTGACAGACTAGAATGCACCAATTTGCTGCAAAATCAGCAGTGATGCAAATGGCGCAAGGCCGGGGCTTACACAGAAATGTTGTCCTTACCTGTGGAAACTGATAACCTGATGTAGAAGAGCATTTTCAAGGATGGCAAGGGCAATTCTATGTTCCTCTGCAATGTGGCTGGGCCACTCATCACATTTAGAAGTTAATACATAACCTCTTTTGTCTGGTCTTTCTGCAGGACTAATTTTGATCAATAGAATAGGACAGTTCTGCATCTAGGTTCTTTTTTTTCCCCCTCACCCAAGGATATTTTCCCACTAATTTTTAGAGAGTGGAAGACACCAAGAAAGACAGAGAGAAATATCGAAGTGAGAGAAACATCCATTGGCTGCCTCCTACATGCATCCTGCCCAGGGCCCAGGTAGGGGAGGAGCCTGCAACCCAACCAAGGTACATGCTCTTGACTGGCATCAAACCTGGGACCCTTTGGTCCTCAGGCCAATACTCTGTCCACTGAGCTAAACTAGCTAGAGCTGCACCTATATCTTAAGAGGTGTTGCAAGTTTTACTTTCCTTCTCTTGAAACATTGATTGAGATCACCATGTAAGAAAATTGCCCTGCTTTCTCAAGGATTAGAGGCCACATGGAAGAGAGCCCAGTGCCCCAATTGACAGCCACCAGCATCAACTGCAAAACAAATGAGTAAAACCATTTTGTTCCTTTCAGTCCACATGATATCTGAGCTAAATTCAGCCATGCTTATAAGCCCACATAAAACCAGCAGATAACCCTCCCGTCAATTCATAAATTTATTATAAATAAAGCAATGTGGTTTTAATCCCCTAACTTTCGGGGGACTTTGTTAATCAGCAATAGATAACTGAAAAGCCTGCATTCTGGTTTTGTCCTTGCCAATGATCAGTTGTATTACGTGAATAAGATATCTGATCCTATAAGCTTTAGCTATCTCACAGCAAAGATGTGGAAATATGAACTATGCAAAAGCTAAAGCCTCTTCTTGCTCCAATGTTATGGGAACTTTCCCAAGACATGCTAGTGGAATCCCTGAGCTGGTAGGGGCTATAGACGTGTTTCAGTGAGAATGACCAGCAGGATAAATCTTAAACATAGATAAACAAAGTGGCTACCATTAAGGCAGAACCACATGCATCTCAAAAACATTCAAGACAACAAAATATTTGCGTGCCTTACAATATGTGAATTAAAAGTTCATGCTTTGGGGAATCTAAGGTGCTCAGATAGCCAAAGTATAAGAGAAATATAATGAATTTGAACAATCATTGTTTTGTTTTCCATCATTGTAGCTGAAGAGAGCATTTTGCCAATGAGTGTAGGTAATAATGGATATGTTACAAGTTGACTATTGCTAGGGGTCATAATCTGTTTGAGCCTCTGCATATAGTTTGCATAAGTCAACTGTCAAAAGCCAAAATGGGCCCATCTGTTTTTGTTAAAAACCTTACCCAGTTACTCATTTCAGCACTTTTATGAGACAACATTTTCTCTTGCAGATACTCTGCATAATTGGTGATTTCTGATTGCCTGGCTAAAATTCTTGCTTGATGTTGGTTATAATCATTGCCTGATGGGAACATTTCATTCTCCAGCATGTGTAGTCATAATTACTTTAGATTTCTATGTAAAGTTAACCAATCCTGAAGGAGACTCCCTGGATGTCATTTTGTCTGATCTCTGTTGAATAAAGTAATCATCTTCTGTTTACAAAACTAGCCTACAAAATTGGACATATTATGTGAAACACCATCTGCATCTTTGGCATATCTACACCTGGTTATTGATATGTGTTGAGTATCATTATCAGAGAAATGGAGATATCTCAATGAAAAAAATATGCAAGAGGCAATATATTTCATTCCTTTTAAATCAAATAAAAAGGCTAAGTTAAATAAGGACATGTTAGCAATGGCTGCCTTCCCTACTACTCTCCTCAGATTTTTTTGCCTGCTGTGACTGTTACCCAGTCCATGTTGACCCAAAATCTGTGACATTTTTTATAATAAGACAATTTTGATCCCAACATATAATCTCAAAGATATTTCTAGCTTCAAATAGCTGCTGCTATAGCAACTTCCAAAGAACCCACTTTTCAAAATATTTGGATATATTGAGAATTCTTTAAAAATTTACTAACTTTTTCAAAATTCTCTGACACAAACCAGGGCCTATTTTTATCTCACTATTAAAAAAACGTTTCTGCTCATTATAATTTTTACCAACTTATTTTAGAAGTTAAACTGTAGAGGATAGAAAATAAAACAAATATAGCAGCATTTTGAGAAGTAACACATGAAATGTTTGAAAACATTAACATTGACATTGAGATTCTGATGAAAGTAAGGCCAGTATTATTCTGGATTCTATATTGCAAAACATGTACAAAACAGTAAACTGGTAATATTTGTATTAAGATATTTTTAGGAAAAATCATCCACAAAGGTGCTTAAGCCCTGGCCCAGGGCATTTTCTAAAAAAACATCAATTTTGGAAGATGATAACAGATGACAGAAATTGCAAGGAAACTTTCTCCACATCTACCACACTGTCACATTTGAATGGCACTGAGCCACACCCATTGTTGGGATTGTCTATTATCTCTGGATGGGATTCTTCTCCCTCTTCTATTGGAAGGAAGCTGTGGAATTTAGGAGAGAAGGTAGTCTGTGTGATGTTGTCATTGCCCAATATGGCTGCATTTCACAAGATAACATTCACAAGATAAAAAGCCCAGAAGAAAAGATTCCAGAAAACTAAGTTATCTCTATAACTTTCTAAAGAAAAGTATTTTTATGAGAATATTCTGAATAATAGATAAAGTTTCCTGTACATAGGTGTGTTCATCAGCTTAACCATGGAGAAACTTTCTCCACCTGAGGAAAACATGGCAATCCTTTGAATGCTGTCTTGATGTTCTTCCTTTTAATTTTTCTAAACCTGAACCTGATAATAAGCCCAGAATACATATTATACTTTCCCTTGACATTAAAAATAGACTTTGTTTGAATCATGGATAAAGTCATTATAAAAAGACAGGAACTTTAAGAATTATTTCATAGACAGAATCTCATGGATTTTTCTTCCAAAGTATAGACAACTTCATTTGTTACCTGTGAATTGTTACTGTCCTAGAATTGAAACTGAATTGAAATACAACTGGAAAAGTCTTTGAAATGTTTCTGTGTTAACATTGTTTAACAAAACGTTTCCTTGGACAGTCTAGTCTCTCAGGGCACTTATGTTTCCATCCTGCTAACTGACAGCCAGTATCAACCTGAGGAAAAAAAGCAAAAAAACAAAATCCAAAAGGGAGTTCAACTTCAAAAAGCAGGTTCTAGTAAGAGCATCTTCACTCTTCATTCTATTAGTTTAGGTGAAACTCCTAGAATCAGCTTCATGGTGCCAAATAATTTAAATCTTAGGAGGGATTAAAGACATTATCTATGCCAATTCATTCACATCAGAGATAGAAAAATTGGGGCCTGCTTTTCTCATCCATAAAATAAAGAGGGAGAGGTACTCAAATTTACTGTATTGCATTATCTCTGTGTACAATAAAGCACTAAGAAACCGCTGGAAAGAGGTACCTCCCATTTTTATCCAAGCGGAGAGGGAAGGAAACTGAAAGAGCGAAGTACATGTTATATACTGGAAACTTCTTTTGTAACCCACTACTCATGTAGTCAATGCCCAGCAGGCTCTTCCTGCATTGTCATGAAAGATTAACTCATTAAAATGTAACCCCAGCTCCCTAGGAGCAGTAACCAGAAAAGGCTCCATTAGAATTGCATTCCTGCTTACAAATGTCTCATTCTACTTGAAAAATTAGCCAGTTGATGCTGGGTATGAGTTTACATCATGGTTGCATGATGGATTATAATAAGGGAACAAATTCTAGCTCTCAAATCTTTCGGCAAGACATGGAACTTATAGGACAACATAGTGCAGACAAATAGTTTATCTCTACCCTGTTCATTCTACCTTTCTGATCATAGAATTCCTGATTTTTAAACGGGCAGATAGCTTCTCAGAATATAGGCAATAATTTCCCATCTCCCTTGAAGCTAAGTATAGTCCTATGACCAACCTATAGCTAAACTTAGTGGGGTTTCTCAACATTGCCACTGTTGACAATGTGGGCCAGATAATTCTTTGTAGTAGGAGCTGCTTTGGGCATTTCACAATGTTTAATGGCACCTCCGCCCTATATTAGAAGTGACAACCACAAATGTCTTGAGACATTGGCAAATATTTCCCAAGGGGCAAAACTTCCCCCAGTTGAGAATCACTGAGCTAAAGGGATGCAAGTGGACCCATCTGGCTCCACTTCTAAAAAGTATCTTTCAATGGTTCATTCTTTGCTCCTTCTTCTTTCCTACTATGCTGGATGGTACTTGAGCAGCTATTTTAGACAAACATGAGAAATCACATTATTAAAGACAGAAGGCAACAGCATAGAAAGAGAGAGGGTCCCTATGATCAGAGGAGGCCCCCAATGGTCATGCATTTGCACATATGTGGACATTTTACATAAGAGTAACATAAATTGCCTAGCCAGTTTGACCAGTGTATAGAGCATCATCATGCAGACTAAACGGTCCCAAGTTTGATTCTGGTTAAGGGCACATGCCTAGATTACAGGCTCAATCCCCAGTAGGGGGCATGCAGGAGGCAGCTGATCAATGATTCTCTCTCATCATTGATGCTTTCTTTCTCTCTTTCTATCTATCTTTTACATCACTCTTCCTTCCTTTCTGAAATATATATATTTTTTTCCCACCTATATTTCCTTTTAGATACACAAAGCAGGTTCCCAGATTCTCTTCTCTGTCCAACCCTAGAGGGGGACTAATCCTCAATCCTGGGCGGGGTCTGGAGTGGACATACCTCCATGTGTCAAGGCATTGCTGGTGCTGCCCCATCCCTGTCCGTTAGCACAGGGGGTGGAGTGTAGAGGATTGGGTGTGGAAGGCTATGAAGTTTCTCAGTTCAGAGCCGGAGCTGTGAGGGGAGAGGCATCCTCGGGCTTGGGAGGGAGGCAGGCCATTGGTGTTGCCACACTGCTCTTGGGCTAGCTGGCCCTCCTCTTTCTGGTCCAAATTAATATTCTCAAGATCATATATATATATATATATATATATATATATATATAAAAGAAATAAGAGCAACATAAACTTGTATGTCCTGTACTTCATTGCTATGCTTGGTTTTCTAATGGAGGCACAATTTACCCCATCTTATCTTAATTTTTTCCCTTTATAGAGTAATCTAAAGCAGGAAATATTTATGTTCTCAATTCAAAAGCAATTGGAATTTAAATGTAAAGCTGCCTCTACACCTTCATAGAATTTTCAAATTCGTTGATGTGCACAGATGTAGATCAATGATTCTCAAGTTTGGCTATATATTAGAATCACCTGGAGAACTTTGAGAATTCTGAATGGCCAGACTGCACCCACAAACAACTTCCAGCAGAACTCAGGGAGCAGGACCCAGGCATCAGTATTTTGCAAAAGTTCTTCAGGTAATTCCAATGTGTAGCATAGTTTGAGAACCACTCGTACAAAGCATTTTTCTTCAAGTATGTTTGTAGTCAATTAACTTTGGTTGCTCTTATTTGCCTTGGGAAGGTAAGGCATGTGTTTGCTCTGCACTAGAGACATACTACTGCAAAATATTATGTTTCTATTTCTGGATATACTCACATTTGGGGTGCAAATGGCAAGAATGAGTCAGATGCAATTTTGTACCAGTCAGCAAAATCTGACTTGGGAAATGTTTTGATAGCTCATATTACTGAGAGTAATTGAGCTCATTAAAAGTAAACTCCTCACTGTTTCCTCAACGCACATGCACATGTGTGTACGTGCACACACACATACACACACACACATTTAATGTAAATCAGTAAAGCCAGATGACTTGGGAGAAGCTAATTTTTCTCTGATGGTTAAAAACAACATTCAAGAATTATGAAGATAGAGGTAAGCCCTGTATAGGTTGATAGATTTGTGTGAGGCTGCTATTGGATTAAGTGTATTTTTAAACCAAAGTAGATTATTTTTAATGTTTATCCCAGAACCATAAGCAAAACAACTCAAAATTGGAGTCCGGCATTATAATTTAATCTAGACTAAGAAGAGTCTTTATCAACATCAGTAGCCCCATGTATCCCAACGAAGAGCACCTCAATCAGGAAGGCAAAGGACAATTTGCACCATTATTTATTTATTTATTTATTTATTTTATTTATTTTTTTTTTTGTCTGCTATCTTCAATGAATAAGCTCTAATTTTTTCAGTGTTTACAGATACAATCCTCCAACAATGAGGTTCCTTTTAATGCTAAGGGAGCTGGAAAGAGAGGAGAAAAAAAGGAAGGGGATAAAAAATGCATTGCATTTCTACTATAAACTAGGCACTTGAACACACAATTCACTTGTGTCATCTCAAAAAGCAATATCAAAGCAGTATTTACATATCCAGATGTTTATGAGAGCCATAACACATGCGTAAGTAGCTAGATATTAATAAAGAAAGGACACTCCTCCAACTTAATCTGGTGTACTGAGAAATTAGTCCCTCCCTCTATCACCTGGTTTTTACTTCCCATGAGACCTTTAGTTGCTATAATTATCCTCATTTTTGGACTATGCCTTTAACCTTCTTGTTTAACTTGTCACCTCTAGAATACAACAAGAATGCCAGCTTGTCCAACAGTGCCATCCTCTAGACAATGTCATCCTCTAGATGTCATATATGCTGCATCCCAGGGACAGCAGACTGACCTGGACCTCACAAAATCTCTCTACTCTGCATGAAGGCTCTCTTTCTGTTTTGTACCTTTCTTCCTTGGACAGATGGGAAGAATCTCTAAGCCTGGTGATATGCAGGACTATGCTCGTCGACAGCAAGAAGCAGCTACAGAAGACAGGACCGTCAGCTACTTGCCCTCGTAAGATTACAAGGTAGAAGGTTTTCAGGGGGAGAAGTCAGTGTAGGTATCTAAATACTAATAATTAATAAAGGATCGAAGCAAAGGAAATCAGACATTGTTAAGCATAATCAACTGGGGAGTATGAGCCTGCTTGCTTCACCAGGAGATTGCAGCTTCACACACTCCCCAGAAGACCACAGGTCTCTTCCCCACTATCACTGGGGAAAAGGGAGGTAAATACATGTGCAGTAGAAGTCAAAATGGTGAGGGAGAAGTGCTTCTATGAGGCATGTGCAATAGGAGTCAAAATGAGAACCACTGAGGCCTGTCAGTCTAGCTTGGAGAAAGAATGGATTGGTCAGGAGGCAGCCCTACACAAACTCATGAAAGATTGAGAAGTTTATTATTTTGAAAAAGCTCCTTGTTCTTCCCAAGCCTGAGATAATATAACCCCAGAGAAGAAAGGGCTCTCTCTCTCTCTCTCTCTCTCTCTCTCTCTCTCTCTCTCTCTCTCTCTCTCTCTCTCTCTCCTCCCCCTCTCCAGGAACATACAAAACCGTGTGTGTCTAGCAGCCATCTGGGCTCATAGTAGACCATGTGGGTTCCAAAGGACTAAGCTTTAATATAAAACAGAAACTCTGGACACAGGCCTTTGTTTTGGCTTTGATGAAGACAAGACTGGATTTTTTACATGGCAGGACAGACAGAGATGGGACTTAAGTGAAGCCTTCTATTTCCACCCGAATAAATCTTGCCAAAGGACAAGCTTCCATGTGTAGGTCTGTGGAATGCTTTTCTCATAATCCCATGAAAGGGCCCAGTTTACACCAGCAGCAATAGCAGTGTTAAAACTAATAAAGGAAACCTCAGCTAAAACTGGAACAAACAGTTTAGCCAATGAGAAGCCACTGTCATCATGGACTCTTTTTTCTCTTTCCTTTTTATTTTGTAATTCTTTATTGCTTAAAGTATTACATCAGTCTCTTTTTCCCACATTGACCTCTCCCTGGCTGCCCCTACCTCCAGCACATGCCCTCACCCCCACCCCACGCCCTGTCTGTGTCCATTGGTTATGCTCATATGCATACACACAAGTCCTTTGGTTGTTCTCTTACCCCCTCCCGCCCTTCCGCCTTCCCTAACAGGTTGGACAGTCTGATTCTTCTATAACACTGGTTCTATTTTTGTTCATCAGTTTGTGTTGTTCATTATATTCTACAAATGAGTGAGATAATGTGATATTATCTTTCTCTGACTGGCTTATTTTGCTAAAACAGAAACACCAATCAGAAAGGATATATTAATCCCTATATGTTCATAGAAGCACAATTTACAATAGCTAAGATTTGGAAATGGCCTAATTGCCTATCAGCAGATGAGTGGATTAGAAAACTGTGGTATATCTATCTACACACTGGAATACTGTGCTGCTATAAAAAAGAAGGAATCCTTTTCATTCACCATGAACTCTTACTTTCCTCCAATGAATTCTCATTTTTCTTTTGCTACTGACTTCCTTGCCCCAGCCTTCTTTCTATTAAAGCCTTTCATTTTACATAGCTTTCCAGACTGCCTTTCTGCTTGCTAAATGAAATCTGCCTGATTCATGAATTGTTTAATAAAGCCAATTAGATCTCCAATTTACTCAGTTGGATTTCCTTTTAATCCTCACCTGAGAACATGTTCACTGATTTTATTCCCCCCTTCTTTTTAGAGAGAGGGAAAGTGAGAGAAAATGAGAAAGAAATATAAGTGTGAGAAAAATCAATCTGTTGCCTCCTGTACTCACCCCAAATGGGGTTCAAGTTAGCAACCTAGGGGAATTGAACCTGTGACTTTACAGTGTACAGGACAAAGCACCAATCAACCAAGCCACACTGATCAGGGCAGTTGACTTTTGCTTTTTAACAGCAAATTGAACATGAAATAGCCTGAAAAATTACTTACAGCTGAGAAAACTGATGACTTGCCTGGGCTTACTCTCCTGGTTGGGACAAAACTAGGTCCAGAATAATGATCTCCTAGTTGCAGTTGGATGTTCTCATTTCCTGCCTCTCTCTCCCCACCCTAATCCACCCATTCACATTTACATAATCTAGTGATTATTTTCTCTTTATCAGGAATACAATAAGGAAATTGCCCTAAAATACAACACAAAAAGTTTAGTTAAAATCCAAGATAATTTCTTAGTGATAGTATCTGCTTGTCATTAAAGGGAGTTGTGATTATTCTTCCCCAGATCTCTTTTAAGATATTATTTGTTGTCATCCACTAATGAGAAGGAAGCATAGCAGAATTGCCTAAAGGTAAAGGGTGGATATTCTAGTATGACAATTCCATGGAATGTCTGCCGCATTACCGCATGTATAGCAATGATCAAGAGTATATCCTGGGCTCAACTTATTACCAACAGCCTGGCCCTGGTCAAGGATGACCTCCTCATTGTAGCTTCTCCAAAACTAATAACAAAAACAGTTATTTATTTCACACTTACTATAAGTTAGCACTTTACATGTTTCTTTTTTTATTATTCTCCTTTCATAGATAAAGAAACAAAGAGGGCCAAAACTGGTTTGGTTCAGTGGATATAGCGTCGGTCTGCAGACTGAAGAGTCGAAGGTTCCATACCAGTCAAGAGCATGTACTTTGGTTGCAGGCACATCCCCAGTGGTGGGTGTGCAGGAGGCAGTTGTCTATGTTTCTCATGGATGTTTCTAGCTCTCTATCCCTCTCTCTTCCTCTCTGTAAAAAAACAAAACAAAACAAACCAATAAATATATTTTTTTAAAAAAGAAAGAAAAAAAATAAAGAGGTTTTAGTAACTTGCTTGAGGTCATGCAATGCAGCCAGCAGGTTGTGGAAGCAGAAATTGCTCTGCAATTGTGCTCCCATCTGTGAACTATGGGCCATAAATACAATGACTAGTGTTTAATAGTATTAA